TAATATTTTCATATAACGTTCAGCAGGGTACATCCATCTCATATAAGCTGGTCCGCACAGTTGTGTCTCTTTCACAAGATGAACGACTAGATGAACCATTATGTCAAAAAACGAGGGAGGAAAATACATTTCAAGATCACATAAAGTAACAACTATCTCATTTTGCAATGTTGGTAAGATCGCGGGATCGACCACCTTACTGCAAATAGACCTGAAGAAGAAACACAGCTTAGTTATTGCGCTTCTTACTTTTTCTGGCAGAATAGAACGTATACCTATTGGTAAAAAATGTTCCATTATAACATGGCAATCATGCGTCTTCAAACTCTTTAACTTGAGGTCTTTCATGGACACAAGTCTTCTAATATCTGAAGAGTAGCCTTCTGGAACTTTTACTTCACTGAGGAACTTACACAATGTTTTCTTCTCCTTTCTAGATAGAGTGTAAACAGCAGGTGGCAGATATGTTCGTCTTCCTTTCGTCACGGGCCCCAATTCAGTTCTCATCCCCATGTTTACCATGTCATTCCTTATGTTAACGCCATCCTTAGACTTTCCTTGTATATTGAGTAGCGTACCTATAACGCTGTCAAATACATTTTTTTCAATATGCATAACATCCAGGAAATGTCTTACGTACAACGACTTCCAATATGGAAGTTCAAAGAAAATTGACTTCTTCTTCCACCCACCCTTGACAATTGAATGTGCAAAAGGCTTGCCAAACTGAGTGCTCACATCTTTCACCTTTTCAAAAATTTGATCACCTGACAAAAAAGGCGGGGCTGTACGATGTTCGGCCTCTCCATTGAATGCTTTTCTCCACCCACGGTAGTGATGATTAGAATTTAAGAATCTACGATGGCCGAGAAAGACATTCTTCTGACAAAGCGCCAATCGTGTCGTATCGGTTTCATCTTCACAAACAGGACACGCCTTTTGACCCTTGTTGCTGTACCCGGATAGATTTCCGTATGCTGGAAAATCATTAATTGTTCCAAACAACATCGCCCTCAAGTTGAAACTTTCTTTCCTATACCCATCGTAAACCTCCACACCTCTCTCCCACAAAAACTTTAAATCTTCGATTAAGGGTGCCAAGTATACGTCTATGTCATTCCCTGGTTGTTTAGGCCCAGAAATTAGCATAGATAACATCATGTACTTACGCTTCATACATAGCCACGGAGGTAAGTTATAAATCATAAGAATCACAGGCCATGTGCTATGCGAGATACTTTGAATACCATGCGGGTTCATTCCATCAGTAGACAATGACAACCGAAGGTTTCTTGCTTCTTTTCCAAATTCAGGATATTCAGTATCAACTTTACTCCATTGTGGTGAGTCTGCCGGATGTCGCAACTTTCCATCAATAATTCTTTCATCTGCATGCCAAGTCAAGTGTCTTGAATCGGTCTCACTACGATACATGCGTCTAAATCTCGGAATTATAGGAAAATACCATAAGACTTTAGCAGGAGACAACTTTTTCTTATATCGAGGGGCACCACATTTAGGACACTCATTCAACGCTGCATACTCGTTTCGAAACAAAACGCAATCGTTTGGACATGCATGTATCTTATCATAGCTCATTCCAATAGAAGACAACATCTTTTTGGCTTCATACGTTCGATTGGGAAGAACATTATCCTCTGGTAGCATATCTTTCATAAGGGCTAATAACTCTGTGAAACTTTTATCCGACCATCCATTGTCCGCCTTTAAGTTGTACAACTTTAACACCGCAGACAATCTTGTGAATTTTGAACAACCAACATACAACGGTTTCTCTGCATCGCTTACCAACCTCTCAAACATTTTGGGACAATCCGCAAGATCTTCTTCAAGCGCTTCTGCAATCTCTTCGACTCGATCACAATCGTATGTGTCTGTGCAATCGTCGTTTGAAGCATACTTCCTATTACAACTCGACTCAGCATTCCCGGTACTTTTCTCACCATGCATTGTCCAACATGTATAACTTCTATCAATTCCAAACCGTAGTAAATGAGATCCCAACTGATTCCCGTCAACCTTACCCCCGGCATAACAGCAACCCAAGCAAGGACACGGCATTCGAAGCGGGTCTTTGGAGTGCGCAACCGCAAACTCAACAAATTCCCATACCCCTTTCTCGTACTCTTTCGACAATCGGTTTGAATTCATCCATGTCTTATCCATGTCTTAATTAAGCTAAACAAAAACGGTCAAACTTTCACTCTTCACAAGTAACCCCTATGGCGAATTCAATCTTAAAGGACGCCCCTCTCGGGGAGGTGATATGCTGGAGGAGTTATGTCGTCGGTATCTCCGAGGAGGAGATCTTGACCATTCCCGCTCCAGAGCCCCCATCCTTTTACTTTGCTGGAGGATTAGGGAATTGGTTCGGTTAATGGAAGCGGTCAATGTTGTTATGGTTGGGTCGGCATTATGCGGAATAAGGACCGGTTGTAGAATCTCTGGATGGTCTTCGACAGGGTTCTTGAGAAACTGTTCGTCCAAGAATAGATTGTTGTCGCGATCAGCACCAACGGAATCTGGGGACGCAGTATGTCCGTCACAGACGTCGAAGTTATTCTCGAGGTGAGGATGTTCTTAGCTTTTGTCGATCTTGCGTGTCGGAGAGAGCATAGTCTTTCCAGATAGGTGGTGATCACCGTGATCGCCCATGATTGATGGATGGAGAGGATCTTTGGTCTTAAGATTCTGGGAATAGAAAACGGGGAAGATGGTTTCCCATAGACGGTTCCACTGATCTTATCGGTTGATCAAAACCTGAAAGGTGGCCAGATGATGATCTTCAGACGGGTTAGAAAGTCGAGGAGGAAAAAAGGGGGTTGTACCTGCAAGGCACTCTGACGATCAAGTAAGTGTGGGAGCAAAAGAGATATAAGCAAAGTATTAGGATTTTAATGATGAATAATAGATATTTGATACATGGCCCTCACATGAGTGAGGATTTATATAGTGCCTCAGGCGCTTGGCCATTTGTCCTTATTATTGGGCCTATATATGCTGGTCCGCAAAAGTAGGTAACTGTCAAGACTTGACCAAATCGGGCAGGTGTGCCCGCAACTAGCCGCTAGTTCTGAGGAGGAGGTCGGTTACGGGCAACAGTCTGGTCGGTTCCTGGTTGTCTGGCCGACTTGAGGTCGGGTAGACTGAGAGGTGCTCGTCGATTGTCATAGGTCAGTGCTGGTCCAAGAGGACAAATGATCGATGGTGCCCGACGAAGGGCGGGGGAGCCCAGGTCGTGGTCGCATGGGTCGTGCTGAAAGAGGAGGTCAGACTGGGCCCACTCTAGCTCTTGGGTCAGTCCATAACACTTATAAACTCGTTTGGCACCAGTCGAACGAATCCTTTTGAACATACTTTATGAAAACACTTGAAAACTAAAGCACGGTGTTGAGATTCCATGTTCGGTCTCGCTAATAAACTTTTGTTAAGAGACCAGCGTTGTTTGCCAAAACCAGAGGCGAACAGATGGAGAGAGAATTGAATTACAAAGTTAACACTTCAACGTTCAAGTTAGTAAGAAAATGAAAAATGAAGTTTGAATGAAAAATCATTTGAATACATGTGAAATGACAAATTTTTCTCTTTAAATAAAAGAAATGGTTAATAATTATACGTGTGTAATGAGGTGCGAGATACAGTTGACCGTCAAATTGACGAGGACAATTAGAAGAATGCTCGCGTGAAAAATTACTTACTTTATTACTTACTTAAAAAGAAAAACTCCAACTGTGAAATTAAATAATGCCTTATATCATCGTTGAGCTTACACTATTTTAGCTATTATAGATGGCTCAGATTCTTTCTTAATTAAAAAAAATATTTTGTTTTTTTAATTTTAAAAATGATTTACAAGAGTGTTTCGTGTCAAATATTTCATCCATTTTAAAATGACTATTATTTTGTTAAATATATTTTATTTTAAAATAACTGTTGTTTTTTATTTTTTAATATAATAATAATTATTATTTTTTTAAGTGTGTTATTTATTTTGTACTCTCTATACTATTTTTAATATATTAATATAATTAATTTTATAAAAATATAATAGTTTATGATAATATTATTATATTTTTTAATTTTTGTACAAAAACATTAAACGAGTATCATTTTGAAAAGGGGGGATTAACAAGAAAGATATTAAAGAAAGGAATTTGGTGAGTGGATTCCTCCGGAAAAAGGATTAAGATAGTGCCAAAATCAGCAAACCCGTCCAATGTACTAGTACCATAATAATTATTTATAACGCAACGGGCGCCGAGTGATTGCCCACAATGTCAAAAAGCATTGGCGAAATATCAAGATAACGTGTATCCAATATCTCTAACTGCAAACATTTTCATCAACCATTAAAAAAAAGTCTAACTCATTTCCACTACTTTGCATTTAATTATCATAATAAAAAAGTTGATAGTACTAATTTTTAACAATATTCTCCTCCGACATTAAAAGTAAACAGACGCCTTCTTTCTTTGTCTTCGCATGTTTTATGTCATGTGGATAAGCTTCAATCCTCATGTGCCGCTCCACCATTCCTCTCCCTTTCCCACTCTTTCATTCAATATTATTTTATTGATTATCCTCATTTATTGTTTTGGTGTCATTAATTAATGAGCATGCCTTCATAACTAAATTAAATTAAAAAAAACATTTTCATTACTTTAATTTTCTCCCACGCAAATTTTAAAAATAATTCCTCAAAGTTCAAACCACCGCGACTTTCAAATTCCTCGTTCTTCATGCACCCACCTACAACACAATCCTCGCAGTCCACACGTCTTTTTTTTCTCATTTCCTTGCTGTTTCAAATTTCATAATCCATATCTTGTATCTCTTTTCATATAAATACCCTTCTCTCTTCCCTTATCCATTTCAACTCCACAACACAAACACCAACACAAACACAACAATAACTCTATTCTCATTCTTATCATTGAAAAAGATAACACTGCATATAACAACTTTACTTATATTCAAACATGGTCGATTTACACCGGAAATTGAACATGCCTTCAAAATCTCCAAAACTCTCTATCTCCGACAAATCCTCACCACGCAACAACTCCCTACCCTTGTTGCAACCACCTTCAATCACAAATGATATCTCGGCCGCGGCAGCTCCTCTTTGCGCGGCTTATGAATACTATCTCCGCCTCCCGGACCTCCGCAAGCTTTGGGAATCAAGAGAATTCCCAAACTGGAGCAACGAACCAATCCTAAAACCAGCTTTACAAGCTCTCGAAATCACCTTTCGTTTCATTTCTACTGTTCTCTCCGACCCCAGACCCTACACGAATCGTTCAGAATGGAACCGGAGACTCGAATCCATCGCCACCAAACAGATTGAGATTATTGCCATGCTCTGTGAAGACGAGGAACAAAATCCAGAAACACGTGGAACAGTACCAACCGCTTATCTCAGCAGCGGCGATAGCAAAATCAGAAGCTACAGTGAGACGAGTCTTCTTCCACGGCTTGCCACGTGGTACAAATCCAAGGACGTGGCGCAGAGGATTCTTCTCTCCTTGGAGTGTCAAATGCTGAGATGTTCTTATACGCTAGGTTTGGGTGAACCGAACCTCGCTGGAAAACCGAGCCTCAGGTACGACACCGTTTGCAAGCCGAACGAAGTTCACGCGCTGAAAACGACGCCGTATGACGATCGTATTGACAACTATGAGAATCACGCGGTGCATGCGACTCATCAGATTGTTGAGTCGTGGATCCACGCGTCAAGGAAGCTTCTAGAAAGAATCAGCGACTCGATTGAAGGGAGAAGGTTGGAGAGAGCGGCTGAGGATTGTTATACGGTGGAGAGAATCTGGAAGCTTCTTGCGGAGGTTGAAGATATTCATCTCATGATGGATCCAGCTGATTTCTTGAAGCTGAAGAATCAGTTATCGGTGAAATCTTCATCCTACGAAACGGCGGCGTTTTGCATGCGGTCGAAGGAGTTGGTAAAGGTGACAAAGATGTGTAGAGATTTGCGGCATAGAGTGCCGGAGGTACTGGAAGTGGAGGTTGATCCCAAAGGCGGACCGAGGATTCAAGAGGCGGCGATGAAGCTGTATGTGGCGGAGAAGATGAGTGGGTTCGACAAGGTTCACTTGTTGCAGGCTATGCAAGCTATAGAAGTTTCTATGAAGAGATTCTTCTATGGTTACAAACAGGTGCTGACGGTGGTGATGGGGAGTTCTGAGGCTAATGGAAACCGAGTTGGGTTGAGTTGCGATGGCGGTGACTCGTTGACTCATATGTTTCTTGAACCCACGTATTTTCCAAGTTTGGATGCTGCCAAGACTTTTCTTGGATACTTTTGGGATAATGATAACAAATGGGTGTGCGATAATTAAATTTACTCTAGATTGATAGAGAAAGCCAAAACAAATATCTATGATCATTAAATTCTTTCCTTTTTTTTTTACAAAAGTATAGTGGATTAAATTTCTGGTAAAAGAAAAATTAAATTTTGTAAGTGTTTGTTTTATGCAAAATACTACTATTTCAACAAATTTTTATGACATCTCTTCTAAACTTGGGTTTTGTCTAGTGTATAAGAAATTGAACAAAAAAACATATTACCTTTGTTCTAATTTATTAAAACAAAAAGAAAAATCACACTTATTTATAAAAAGACATTATAACTATTAAGAAATATATATATATATATATATATATATATATATATATATATATATATATATATATATATATATATATATATATATATATATAATCATATTTATTTAGAAAAGTATAATGTAATAATTTAAAATATTTTTTATTTATTTTTACTTTTATAGAATAAGTTTTGTGAAAAAAATTGAAAATAATTTTGATTGATTATTTTGAATTATAAAGTTGTGGATTTATAAATTTTAACAACTAGATTATAAAAAATATATAAAAGAAAGTGTTCTTGCATAAATTAAATTATGGACAAATAACTTATACTTATTTCAACTATTCTTCTTTTAATTGGTTATTGAATAAAAAATAGAAAAAGTTAATTAAATATAATTGATATTAATCTTAAATGTATTTTTTAAAATATTTTGAAATAAATAAATAAATTATTATTTATTAGTACGGAAGGAATATATATATATATATATATATATATATATATATATATATATATATGACTTATGTTTCATCTTATGTTTCATCATATATTCATACATTCTCATGGTAAGAATTAGGTTATCTTGGTTTCTAATTCTTCTACAAGCTATTGGAGATGTTTGATTGGTCAAAACAGTGCAAAAGAGGATCTCTTGTCTTCAATCTCTAAAACTCTTTCAAGCTACAAAGATTTCTTGCATTGCAAGGCATCTCATTTGTTCCATGTGATCATTAGAAGCTGAAAGTTTGCAAAGTTTGGAGAAGAATCACATTTCCACTGTTCATCTCTCAAGATTAGGGTTTAATCAGTTGAAGAATTTGAGGCTTGTAAGAATTAAGCATATAAGGAATTACCTTCTCATCATCATGTAAGGCAACTTGGTTCAAAGAATCTCTCAATTTATCCAGGGGAATGAGGGTTTTGAAGGTTGGTCACTATCTCGTAACATAGAGGGCTGAAATTAGGGTTTTAATTTTTATCAGGAAATCTCTAAATTTTTGAGCAAGATTTAATTCCATGCCTCTCTATATGTTGATAAACACCTATGATTGAGAGACTGGGTGTCAATTTTGAGCAAAAGAAGTTCAATTGATCAAAAAGGGTAAAATAGTCATTTTGATCAAAAGTCAACCAAAGTCAAAGTTGACCAAGTGGACTGTTGGTCAACCATTAATTCAAGTATCCTATTTTCATGATTCATGATCATTGGTGTCATAAAATCGAGAAAAAAGATCAAAATGGAGATAATTTGTTCAAGAAGTTATTTGGACATTTAGGGAAAATTCTAAGTTCTTAAGCCCTATAGTACTGAGTAGTGGACATTCATAACTTCTCATTTTTTTTATCCAATGGAGACAAATCTTATATGCTTGGAAAGCTCGAGAAAAACCCTACAAGATTGTCAATGTGTGTCCAAGTCCTAAAAATGAAGCATTTGTGAGATATGGAGCTTAGAAGGATAAGGCACAAGGTTATCAAAAGTAACAAGTCACACGCATATTAAGCAAGGCATTTCCACAAACAGTTGGTGTGCCATTTTGATGATTGAATTTTTGTTGATTCAAGTATCAATTGAAAAATTGGAAAGAAGCATATTGAATATTGTTATATGGGTTTTATTTAGCTCTTTGAATCACATCAATTGAGCCATTATTGAGGAAGATATAATCAATCAAAGTGAAGACCTCAAGGTTGCATTTCTGGAAAGCCATGCATGTCCATGCACGCACGCGTGCCCTGAACTTCCAGGCTTCTTTTTTCCAAACTTCTCATTGAAATATCTCTCACTTCCAAGCATCAATTTCAAAAATTTAAAGTTCTATAATGATCTACATTTAAAGAGCTTTCCAAAGGCCTCTTAAGCAAGGAAATTGCATGAGCAAATTAAGAGAAATTGGAGAAGAAAGTGAGTTGATCAATATGTTTGGTCTGCGATCAGTTTGCTCTCCCATGTACTTGTATAAGTCAGGTCATCATTCATGTTTCATTCAATTCTTTCCAAAACTATTGTAAGTTCAAACAATAACAACACAAAACGCAGCAAGCTTCAGTATTGTCTCCAACGGCTCCAGAACCTCAATAACTTTTATACCCTTAGCAAAACTTCTTCAAAACACTTCCTTCCCTCTATATAAACTCCTCTTCATTCTCATTTCAAGGAGCTTGATTGATATTCACAACAAATCTCTGAAAAAACTCTCCTCAAAGCTCAATCCTCTCTCTCAAAACAGAATCTTCTTGTGCGAATTTTCTCTCGAGTGCTTTGCTCAAAGCTTTAATTCCTGCATAGTTACACATCATTGAAGCTTGAAGGAGAAGAATCATCAGGTTTCTCACTAAATTCAGAGGAAACTTGTGAATTTATTTTTCAAAAATTCAGGTAAGCATCATTGAACTCAAATTCGCGATTCAATTTGCATTCTTGTTGAAGATCGTGTACATCATGGATTAGCTGGCCAGATCTTAGATCTGATGTATATCTGTGGTGAGTTGATGTGAAAATCGTGCTCTGCAAGTTGCTTGGAACTTTGAGTGAAATAATGCTTTCATGCTCATATCTCTGTTTAATCTTGCATTATTTGTGAAATTTATGTTCGTCTTGTTGTTCCTTGCATTTTCATAATGAACTTTGATGTTTGGATTAAGTGATTTTGTTAAGAAATGAATGACATATGTGGATCTGAATTTGGCTTGATGAATTCTGTTTTTACAAGTTCAAAATATGTTGATTTCAATGGCTTTCACGCGCGTTTTTCTCCCTGATTCATGAACCATTCTTAAAAATCTTTGATCCTATGTTGATCTACTTCATGAGATCTTTAATTTGATTACAAATTCGTGTGTTTTCATCAAGTATTAAAGGAGATATCATGATCTGAATCCAGCATGTAAAACTGAATAACATGTGTTAGGACATGGTTCAGTGGTAGGGACGATTACGTGGCGCACATCTATTGAACATGTTTTGATTTTCTTTTACAATGCGTTTTGGCTTTAACAGGTGTAATAAGCCTTAGCATTTTTTTTTTTAATTTTTAATGCATTTTTAATTGTTTTCTTATTTTTGTTTTAATATTTTCTCTTATCCAAAAATTATCAAAAAAATATGTCAGACTCTATTTTTAGTCTATTTTCACATTATGAATTTTATTTTTATTTTTTAATCATTTTTAGAACATTAAATAAATCAATGAGTTCAGTTAGGTTTTTTATCATCTTTTAAGTTCTAGAATTTTATTTTCCAAGTTTTACCAATATAAAAAATCCGCAAAAAATAAATTAGTTTCAATTTGAATCTACTTCATAAAAATAATTTTTGTTTGATTTTATAAAATTTTGTGACAAGTAAATAAAATCAACCAATAGTTATATTTTTTTTTTTACCTTTTTTGTTGTGCAAATAATTTTTGTTTGATATCTTTCTCTATTGATAAAATTCCAAAAAAATATACTTGCTGACCCTTAGGTATTCAAATAATTTTCTATAATTTTTAATTGAATTTACATTTAAGTTTTCCTATTTTTCCAAATTTTAGAAACTAATGATCGTTTTTGGACTTTCTTTTTGCTTAAGCTAGAAGAAACTTTTGAAACCCTAATTTCCTTTACTTATAAAAAACAAAGAAGATAGGTTTAAATTTCTTGGATGACTTAAAATCATAAAAATCATTTTTTCTGAATTTTAATTTTTGATTTTACATTTTTTCACAATTCTTTTGCTAAAACTTTCTAATTTGACCACTTTGTTAACTAGTCTTGAAGATTCTCAATCATTTTCACCTCTTCAAATTAATCCAAGATATTTAAACTATGTATTTGACTTTTATAAGTCTTGAGGAAGCTAGGGTTCATTGGTTTTATTTTTTACAAGTTGTTTCTTTAATTTTTCTAACCTAATTTGGATTTAGGGTTTCCCTCCCTTTCAAAGTTTGAATATTCTCTTATCCACCTCTCTTGGTGTGTTTAAGAGTTTCACTCATAAGTTGTGTTTGTCAAAATGTTGATCATACTTAAGGCTTAGTTTTTCCTTGTGTGAGGTTTCATAATCCCTTTCCCCATCTTTACTTTCTTTGCAATGCTCCTCATAGGATCTTCAATTCACTATTTTCCAAGTTTGAGTTGAATAGACCTTAGGCTTATATCCATGTATGCCAATATTAAGTAGATATTTCCCTTTTTATCCTCAACTATATGATCAATAATGCATGACGATTCTAGGGTTATTGTGCTAGTCTCCCCTTAGACTTTTCTTTCTTCTTTGCATTTGCATTTAAAACAAAACTTCTTTTTCCTAGCAAACTTCAAAACACTTAAAAATTACTGATGAGAATCATACCTTTGTTGAGCATGGGAGATGATAAACGGGTTTCTTCTCGATACTATTGCTTTTCCTTTCTAAGCCTTGGTGTGGTTCAAAACTCAAAGACTTATTTCATGAATAAGTGGAGAAATGTCTAATATCTCTCTCTTGAGATCAACTAGTTGTCATCCACAACAAAAACACCAACCAATATAAACTCTTTTTGCCTTAAGGATTTTCTTTCAAACTCTTTTCAAAATAACATGTTAATTCACTTATGTGTTGACGCGTAAGTCTCCAAAGCTCGAGTTGCGGCAGAAGGCGTAATTAATATTGTTCATTAAAAAATATAAACAAAACTTTTGAAGCTGAAATACAGTTGCTCTGATTCCTTAAAAGGGATACGTAGGCCTTGGGGTAGAGCTCGA